TGGTACTAGTCACGATGGGCAAAGAGCACCTCCATCTTCAAAGGCAGCCATGAAGCCTCAATTGCTGGAAGCAACAGCAGAGCTTCTCAGAAGCACTGGCTGGGTAATGTGGGCATGGCATGCTAGACTAGATGGACTTTTTGTCAGATCCAGCAGAGGTGCTCATATATCGATATTGCTAGAAAGTTCTCCGTGAACCTCTTCCCCTCTAGAGACCTTACAAAAGCCAAATCAGTCAATGTTCCACATCCCCATGAAATCAAATGGGTTTCCAAATCTACAAATAAGCACTTCCTTCTAATTGATTTTGATAGAACTTACTGGTTGTAAAGAACTTTTGCAGGATTGCATGGCAGCCTACGGAGAGAAGAAAGGGGCCTTTTTTCTTTTTAGAAAGAAGCCTCCAAGCTTGAACAGTTCCAAGTATTAAATGCCCTGAGGCTATGCTGCTGATAGCAGGACAAGAGAAGTAAAGGAAAGGAATTTTACCTTTCCTTCATTTTTTAAACAAACTTTTCTTCTAGATGGGCTTTTGTGTCTATCTAGAGAAGTTATGTTGCTGGAGCTTGGGTTAGGAGCAGAAAGACCTTTTGATTTCTCATATCCTGGCTACTTCTCTCTCTCTCCTTCCTTCCTGCTGAATGGCAAATGGCACCTTTCCCCCACTGTGCTTCCAAAATTGCATTTATGACTTCAAAAGAAACTGGTTATGAGGGTGTTATAAGGATCAGAAATTAGAGTCCCCATCCCAAGTTTACAGCTGCCAGTTGCCCGAAGTGTCTGATTCTACCTAATCATAGAAGCTAAGTAGGATCCAGTTTGGTTAGAATTTCGATGGGAGACTTGAGTCCCTGCATGGAGCAGCAGGTTGGACGCAATGGCCTTTCCAACTGTACAATTCTATGATTCTTGTGAACCACCCAGAGAGCTTTGGCTAAGGGTGGTAGAGAAATGTAATAAATAATGCATACATTCTTTTTAGCAGAGTTTATAGCTGAAGCAGGAAGACTCTGAACAATCATCACACAGGAATTCTGTGATTGAATATCTTCATATAGTTTTATTTTCATGTAATTTTCTCATAAGATTAATTCATACAACTAAGAAAGCACAAAAGGGGATGCACAACACTACTGTTTCCCATCTAGTGGATCAAGTCTGAACTTCTGCACTGGTATAAACTTCCTTTCACGAGACCCTCTGTCTTCATGATACCAAATGTAAAGAAATGTAATTGTTCATTAGTAAAAGAAGCATTTTATGAAGAAAAGGTAAGAATTGCATGTCAGTCCACTCCAATACTTAAGTAATAAGTTCCTAACTTTAGAGGGAGGTTTTCGTTTTTAAGACCTCAGAGATGTGGCAGTGGTGAAATCCACATTCCCCAGACAGTTAGGTTTCAACTCCATCTAGTATGTTGGAGAACTCTGTAGAGGCGCCCCCTTCATTTTTTGTCTTGTTACACAGTAAATGGCATGGCCTGTTCCCACTGGGAATAGCAGTGGCCCCTGTACAGCAATAATTTAAAAATATATACTTGCACTTGGTGACAAAGATGGCAACAATAGGAGCACCAACCAGCTGGCTGCAGAAACAGCTGGCTCGGAAGAGCTGCTGCAGGAATGGGGTGAAGCGTTTCTGGTGACAGATGAAATCCTTCGCTGGGAAAAGCCATGGTTTCCACCTGCCATGAGAGCTGTAGTTTCCTCCATTTTTCTGATGATATACTACTTGGACCCATCTGTTCTTTCAGGTGTTTCTTGCTTTGTCATGTTGCTTTGTTTGGCTGACTACCTTGTACCTGCTCTTGCACCTAGAATTTTTGGCCCCAGTAAACGAGCTACTGAACAGCGGCAACAATTCCACTTAAAGCCACACATCTTCTGGGAAAGAGCTTCAGGTTTTTTTATCCATTAGCTGATGGTCATTTGGCTTTCAGACAAGTTGCTGCTGTAAGTGCAAAATGTAAATGCTACTGTATGAGATTCTATTACTTAAAAAAGTTCTTGCTCTATTCACTCTAGTATGTTTTATGCTTTGACAGTGCTGGGTGTGTACAAGGGTTTTCTGTATTGCACAGTGCTCCACACACTCCTCCTCTCAAGCCCCTTAAACATTTATGCTACCTTCTGCAGCCCCACAGGCACCAGGAACCCATTCTGTAGGTAAAAATACAGAAATCCATGCATGCAGTTGTTTGGTTTGCACTGCTACATGTTTGTTCTATGGGTTTATTCCTGTTAAATACCACTATACAGTAGAAAAGTACCATCATTGCTATATTGTAGCTGCTTTAAATAAGTGAAATTGATTCTATAAAGCAAAATAAAGAGAGGGTCAGAGAGCTGTTGCATGGTCCCTGGAAGAGTGAACTAGGGCCTGTAGAATATTTTGGTGTTCCCCTTCTAAGGCCATAGACACAACCTTGAACTTGGGAGGAGGAATCTGAACACAGCTGTTTCTTCCTGCCCATGAGATCAGCTTTGGGCGATAATGCAAATAATGGGGAAGGGTTGGCAAAGGGAGAAGCCAAGGATGCACAGAAAACTAAAGTCTCCCAACTTGTTGGAGTCAATGCAGCACAGGGCCGCAAGGTTTGCAGGGGACGCCGTATGAGGCGAGACTGAGGGAACTGGGTCTCTTCAGCCTGGAGAAGAGGAGACTCAGCGGGGATCTGTTGGCAACATACAGGTATGTGAGGGGATGTCACACGGAGATGGGTAGAGACCTCTTCTCCCCTGCAGAGGAAGGCAGGATGCGCTCCAACAGAGCAAAGCTCAGGGAGCCAAGCTTTCATTTGGATGCCAGGAAGCACTTCCTGACAGTCAGAACCCCGAGGGTGTGGAATGGGCTTCCAGGGGAGGTGGTTGAGACCCCATCGGTGTGGGAGTTCAAGGATAGGCTGGACGTCCACATGGTGGGCATATCATGAGTGGAGCCGGCTGGAGCCGGGGGTCAGACTAGATGGCCTGGGAGGCGCCTTCTGACTCGCTCTGCTTCTATGTTTCTATCTCCTGTCACCAGGCATGCTCAAACACACAACCAGTAAGAAAAGCAACACCAAAGGGGGAGCAAATAGCCCCTGTAACTCCATCTGCTAGCAGAGCATTGGATATCCAGAGTATTTTAGAAAGCTTAGAGTTGTTCCCTTACATAGCCTTCTCCAGATGTATTGGCCTACAACTCTTTACCTCTTCAGCTACCATAGCTAACAGCTTTGCTGGCTGAGGATGATGGGAACTGTTGTCTTTCTCACCTGTAAAACACAGCTTCCAGCATCCCCAACCTGTGTAGCCTTTGACCATGCTAGCTGAAGATGGAAAGGTAGCCCAACGAACCTGAGAAGCACCAGGCTGGAATAGAAAGATTTGTTGACCTGAAAAGACTAGAGAGTAACAAGTCTTAAAGGCAACCAGAATGAAAAGAATGCACGTGTGTGAAGACTACATGATCTACCTAACCTCATTTCTGGGCAGGGCCAGTAAAGCAGGTACTGCAAAAAGCTGTTAATGTATTTAGGTGTTTTTCTGCACTCAGTATTGTGCTGAATATTTGAACAGATAATGGAAGGCGAGCTATCTAATGCTTATAGTAAGAGTATGTGGAATGTAATCTTGGCTGCATCCCCACACAAGATAGTTAAGACAGATAGATAAAAAGCCTGGACGAATCAATGACATATCCAGGTTTTTCAGACCTTGGATTCCCTTGAATTCCAACAAACAACAGAAGACCTTTTTTTTTAAAACTGTGCATCTATTAATTTGAAATATAATCCTATACACATTTTTCTTTGGAACTGCAAAGCATAATCAGTGGGGTTCATTTTTAATACCCACATTTAAATAAACTTGTGTAGGGCTATAGACATGGATTGCCAATATTCTACTTGGGAATAAGTAAGAATAAGATTTACTTCCCACATGCACGGGACAGAGTGATCGCTTCTCTTTTCTTCCACTCTGTATCCACCTCCTCCCTTTCTCATCTCTCCAGCTGTACCCTGAAGAGAAGCCAAAAGGTCTATCAGATTCATTCCCTGTGTGTTCTGTCTCTCACCCCACTGGAACCCCACCACCGGGCAGGGAAGGCATTAGAATCTCTCTCCAACTGCCAGCTTTGAGATGGATGAAGGATCGTTGCAAAAGCCAATTGGCAGCGGCTTTTCCCCTTCTCTTGGCTGGCCCTTCCTTGCACCTGCCAGCTGTCTGTCTGGACGAGCTTACATAATAACCGAGGGGTTGACACAGCTGCGGGAATTGCTTGCTTGCAGTAAGAAAACTTCTGAACTCTCTGCTTTAACAGGCCCTGACTCGTCACTCCCAGGTAACACGTGCCCAGAAGCAAGAGCTCTTTAACTTAATTGGTGACACGTGCACTGCAACGGCGCGATCCTTATGCGTGTTTTACACGGAAGTAACGGCTGCATTTGATGGGACTTACTTTCTCTAGTCACAGTTTCCCTGTGGTAGTTGTGTTTGTCTATTGCAGCAAATAGTTGAAAAGGCTGGTGCCACCTTAAAGACAGAAGGGAAATAAATGCGAAAAGGAAGCTGTGTTGATAACCTGTTGCTTTTTGTTTTTAACCTCCTCACTGTTTACAATTCTTCCTCCCCCTTTAGATAAACCTCAAACTTTCCATAATCCTCCATGCAGCTGGGTCATACGCCCTGAAAGTTATTATCAATATTTCTGTACTACTCAATAGCCAAAGCTCTGTGGGATGTTTACAAGGCTGTGCTGCAATAAATTCGTGATGTTTTTAAGGAGTTCTCCGTTAAGCCTGTGGGTAGGGAGCAGCTTCTCCCTAAGGAGACAGGGTAAAACGGCAAAGACAAAGCCAGGTGTTAGAAGGGCTGCAGTACCAGGTGCACTCATTTGAAAATAAATGTCATTGCACTCAGTCCAGTTCACACTTGATTAAACAGCTGGCAAAGGCCAGGCTGCATAGAGCATCAGGGAGTTTTGACGTGAGGGGGGCTGGTTCTTTTGCTACGGGGCTTGGAAGGGAAGGACATGCAAGATTAGTAGCCCAATTCTGTGCAGCTTTATGTGGAACGCCTTGCTCATTATAAGACTTCCCCTCAGGTAAATTTTGCACTACAATCTAACGTATGTTAATGTCCTGTTCAACAGGGCTTGCTCCCCCCCCCCCCCCCCCGCCAAAGTATGCCTAGGATTGTAGCCTAGGAAATGATGTTTTTATATGCTTTCTAAGTAAAGTTTTCCAAGGTGAGTGGTTCCTCTTCTAATTGTAATGTCTGCTCACAACAAAAGTTTTTGTTCTCTGTTTTGCAAGAGACTAATGTATAGGAGACTAAAGTTTGCAGTATAGACTCAGAGTGCAAGCCCCAGCTGAGGCTTGCGATTCTTACTGCAGCTTTCATTTTGAGTTGTATAAGGGCTAGTCACAGTGCTGAACCATATCTCCAAAACCATGGAGTACGGTGGATAGTGTCAGGATCTGGGCAGCTCTGGGCCTCCATCTGGTAGCCAGAATTGAGGTCTGGCCCTGCTGCTGCTCTTGGACGCCTCATGAGTGCTAGGTGGGAGATTTTGGGAGGGAGGGGGGAGAGCTGTGTATAAGCAAGCTCTTTCCTCTAGTGGCTACCTTTGCTACATAGGTTTTGCTGTTGGATGTGGTGCAGGTGAGCTTTTTGCATGTTTCCTGAATGGTCCTGTACCTTGTAAGGTAAGTTGGGCTGAGAGGCTGATTGAAAGTCACCAGGTGAGCTTTCATATTGGGTGGAGGCTGGAACCTGGATCTCCCTGTTGCCAGTCCAGCACTCTAACTGCTGTGCTGCACTGGCTATCTGTGTGTTACAGCATAGGAAATTTCTTATTATTTGATGTATTGCATTAGGTGCCAATAAAAGGATTGCAAGATTAAAATTATATACTGCTGTATTCTGCCCGGAAAGAGGCCTGTATGTTCCATTAGTAGTACAGAAAGATCCAACAACTGCTGGCTTTCATATTTTCAGAGGAAAAGCAATCATTGCATATTTCCCCCTAGATCTTTTCTAGCATTGTCTAGCAAGGAATACAGTGGAATCTTATATATGCTGTCTCTGAGGAAAGTTCTACTGAGTTCAACCTGACTTACTCCCAGGTAAATGCTATAGGATTTTGGTCTAGATAATTAAAAAGGAATACTAATAAATGGGGATGGCCACAAAATATAGCAGCACGAAGTCAGAGTGCTAGCCAGCCATGGCCTTTTCCAAGGTACTCCGTTCTCCCCCAACTTCCCTCCATTTTTTCTCCTTCCAACATGCAAGGTATTCTGTGGCCACTGGGCTTGCTCATTGGATTTTCTTCTATCTTTAGTTATATCCCCCCCTCTAAAGTTTTCTTATACTTAAGGATCAGCCCGTGGAGAATAAGTTTCCTTGTTTAAGCATAAGACTACTGCAGCAAGAATCACACCAGAGACCCCAGCTATTGAAGAATGGGGAAACAGATTAGCAGAATAGACAGTGATGGCAAAGCTTAGCTATGTAAATAGAAAACTGTTAGAAGAATCTAATGACAAATTGAGATTTTACTGAGCTTAGCGTGACTAATGGAAGTTCAGGGAAGTTTGGAAAAGGAAAGTAGTAGAATTTGATTAGAAAATCTGTTGATTTATAGATTTTTTGTTTGTTTTTGGTAAACTTTCATGGAACATGGGAAGCTAGGGAGAGTCAGTTTTGGGGGCTGCAATACATAGATTGTATTTGTTTAAAATTCCCTTGGCAACTTTATTTTTTTAGTTTAGTCTGTTCTGTTTATATTTTTTCCAAGGCTACATTTTTATGTATTTGTTAAGAAAACAACAATTAGAAATTAAGTTTCCTTTTAGGAGTTAGATAATAAGATAAACACTTTAATATATCCCTTTCCCAGCAGCAAAGGAATATAACATGATTCTTAAATTTTTGCCCTTTGCTCCTGAGAAAGGTATGTTACTGGGTAAAGGTTGCTACATCTCTGTCCTGTTTTGGAGTTCTGCCTTTTGCTACCCTTTTTCTTCTCACTTGTATCTGGCTGCTGTGTTTAAGAACAGACAGAATTTTCAAGAATCCACATGAAAACTTGGAGGGAGGCCCAGATGTTACTTCTTGGGTCCTGTTTTTGTCTGTAGTGTTCCCAGACCAAAAGCTGAAACAGGCTTTTAGTTAAACTTCCTATTTAATTTAGCAGCTTGCTTGTTTTTACATCTATGCACAAATTTGAGCTTGTTATTTATTATATTTATATATCACCTTTCTTCCATTGTGGAACTCGGTGGCCAGATGTGATTCCTGGTGGTCTCCCCTCCAAGCCCAGGCCTGCCCCAGACTTGCTTAGCTTCATCACAGTGGATGCCTTAAGTGCCTTCAGATCATACTCTGAATCATTAAATCTAATTTAAACTGCCTTTCCTGGGAGGTGCTGCACATGCTTAGTCAAAAGTAATTCCTCCTGTGTTTCTAGGAGCTTACTACTAGGGCTAACTAAAGAAATGGAGCTTTAATGACCCTCTCATATTTTTAATCACTGACAATTTTTCAAATGCCATGACTGTGAATTAGATATTCACAGAAATAAATTTTTGAGACTTGAATAACACCACAGGGCATGTTAGTGAGGGCACAAACTTACACACGTTTACACACGAAAAGTGGCCTACAAGGCTCAGCATTCCCCTGACTGACATTAAGAGCAGTCGGGAAATCCTTATTTGTATGAAGGACAATTCTTTCGAAAGGGAGGGATGTCAAACCATTTCTTTTCAAGCAGCCCTAAAAACCATTCTTCTTTTCAAGAGGCCTAATGAGTGTAGTTTAATTAGCAACAAAGCCATCCTACTTAGTGGTTTTCTCCTCATTTCTCCGGGCAACACACATTCTCTGACAGGAATTTTCCTGTCAGAAAAAGGGCCTTCAAATATGCACGCACCATTTGCAGGTAACCATCCAGCCCACACAGTTTGTCATACCAATTCAGGTACTTTCTGTCCCTGAGTTTACTTTTGAACAATCTGAACTGGAGTTATGTGGGGGTTGTGACTAAATAAGTGGAAGAAACAGATAAGCGCACTGAGTGAATGGGGTGTGCTCTAGAGGGGTTTGAACAGCTGCCAAAGGGGCATTCCCATCATCAAGCATGAGGCAAGAGTCTCCCGGTGGATTATTTAATGTATTCCATTTGTAAGGTGCAATCCTAAATCCTACAATTCCCAGCATTTCCCCGTCAGTAGGGCTGTCAAGGGAATGGTGGGAACTGTGGCACTTTCTTCTGTCTGAACATGCATAGGATTGTCCTCTAAACTGCCGTTCCTGCAAGGAGTTCAAGGTGCAATTTACCTCACACATTTTAGCCTCACAACAGCCTTGTGAGGTGGGCCAGAGTGACAGAAACTGACTGGCTAAAGGACAACCAGTTACCTTCATGAGTGAGAGGGGACTTTCTTAGGTTACCCAGCTCACATTAATAGCATGGATACGGTCATTAAAAGTTAGAAAATGAGCAATTTTCTCTGACCAAAATAAAATATAAGGAATGAGGAGGCAGTGTGGCATGGTGCTTAGAGCATTGGACTGCGCCTCAGGAGATTTGGGTTCTAGTCTCTGTTTGGACATGAACCGCTGTGTGTGACTTTGGGCCAGTCCCTGACCCTCAGCCCAGCCTACCTCACAGGATTGTTGTCGTAGGGATAAGATTGAGAATAGGAGACAATTATGTATCCCACCTTGAGTTCCTTGGAAGGAAAAAAGGTGGGATATAAATATAATATGGCCATCTATGGAATGGCCTCTGGAGAGCAGTTCGCGTGGCGCCTTCATTACAATCTTCTTGACATCAGGCAAAAGCAACTCTATTCTCCAGACAACTTAATAACTGATTGTATACAGTTTGATTTTAAGGTACATAGTTATATTGCTCCATAGTTTTAACGTATTATTATTATTATTATTATAGCTGATTCCCACCTAAACTTTCAGCTGCATTTTGTTTATTTCTTGTATATTGTTACTATGGTTATATGTTTTCATTTGTGTATTATTGTATACTGCTATGCATTTATGGTTTTTTGTTTTATTGTTGCTATTGGATGTCCATATTTTGCTCTTACTGTTACTTATTTTTCTGTAATCTGCAGAGAGTCCTTTGGACTAATTAACACGGAATGTAAGTTAAATGATACGCATAGCATGCACTGCACATGGTTTGTTTTACCTCTAACAAGCGCAGTGAAGAAATGTTTTGCTTCGAGCTTTAGTGAACCAGAACACCAAACCTGAGAGGGATCCTCAGTTTTGTGGAGCAGTCACAGAAAAGTACTTTTTACATGCTGCATCTAGACCTGGTAGATGGTCATTTGCAGGACTGGTTTTCATGTTATACATTAAAACCGAGCAGTAGGGCACAATTGTAATTACATACTTTAAAGTCCTGTGATGAGCTTCCATTGCATTGACATTGATAGGACTTAACAGTGCTTCATTTGGGTGGGATTGTACAATAGCCACAGAGTATGTGAGGATCACTTAAATGAAGATTCCTGTAGCCCAGTGGGGCAACCTCTGTTTTCCATGCAAAAGGTCGTCTGCCTTTTAACCACTGTGGGACTGTGTGGGGATAAAAATCAAATCTCTATATTGAAATGTACCTAAAAGCAATGAAAATCCAACTGTTACTGCAGGGCATATGCTCTCAAGGCTTCTGTACATGAGGCATTAACTGGACTTAGGATTCTCAATCACAAAAATTCTCAGGTCCTTTTCGTGAGTCTCTCATGTCTTCCAGCCATTTTCATGGCATTTTTTTAAAGTGAGGAAATCATCAATTTGTTTTCAAAGAGATCTGTGTGGTAGTACGGAGATATGATAATTTCAAATGCAGTAGAAGCTGGAAAAAAGTCTTGTGTGTTGGTACAAGTCCACTCTACCACAGTTCCACCTTCCAGTTGGCTAATGGAATATCTAGAAAGGTAGAGAAAAATGCCAGAAGAAAAAAAAACCCTGGTAAGGGAGGCACTCTTCCTTTTGCAAAGAAAACAGAAGCCCCAGTAAAGTCCAGAGCAATTGGGATTGATCAGCTTAGAAGCATAGCGGTTGGTTTGTTTTTATTGTTTCACTCTATTCTTTTTAATTACGTATCTGGGTGACTTAGAGATGTAAGGGGGCAGTCATCCATGGCTTGATTGTGGATGATGGGGCTGCCTTGACTTGCATCACTGAGACCTGGGTGGGTGAACTGGGAAGGAGTCGCTCCCAGCTTCTGTGTACTCAGGACAGCACCGGCATCGACTCGGAGGGCCAGATGGCAGGGTGGCCGTGGTCTTTAGGGGTACGGTTTCCTTCTCTACACTTCCTGTTGAGTTGAATGTAGGTCTTGAGTGTTTGTACCTTGTGTTGGCTGCCCGAGACAGATCAGGAATTCTGCTGGTGTACCGCTGACCCTGCTGCCCATCAGTTCACCTGCTTGAGCTAATAGAGATGCTCTCAGGCTTGGTGTTGTGGACCCCAAGATGATTGTTCTGGGGGGATTTTAACTTCCATGCCACATCTGTTGTATCTGGGGCAGCTCAGGACTTCATGGCCATCATGACAACCATGGGGTTGTCTCAACATGTTATTGGCCCAACACATGTATTGATGACCCTGTGGGATGACCTTTTGCCAGGAGAAAGATGGGGAGTGTGACCCTGCTGATTCTTCTGGAGCTCTCGGTGGCTTTCAATACCATTGACCATGGGGCACCTAGAAATGGGACTTCCCAAATCACAGTCCAGCACTCTAACCAATATACTGCACTGGGTCTTGGGATCCCACTTCAACACAAGTGTGCAGACAGTTCCCCCCTATGCACCTGAGGGTGGAGGGCTAGCTTATGGGGTGCAGGGCAGGATGTGAGGCCCCCATAGCTCTGTCCTCCAACTGGGGAGAACAGGTCAGGAGGAATGGCTGTGAGGGGAAGATGCTGCTACTATCACTACTACTACAGGCCCTTCCAGCTTCCCTTGCTACTACATGAACAAGATTGCCCTCCAGCTAGATCAAAGGATTTCTTGCTTCTGTGGTTCTTGACCTAAGCAAAGGATAACAGAATACTTGGGAGGACTGGCCTCTCTGCTTGACCCAGTCTGAATCCGGCAAAGTGTCTCTTCTTACCAACTGTCAGCATTGGCCTTGAAATGACCGGACAAGATCTTTGCACAGCTGGGAAAATACATTAATCCCTAAGCAAGGCCTTCTGTGTAATAGTTCTGTCCTACATGGAGTAATCTCAATAATCAAGGGCATTTCTGTGATCATGGGAGTAGGTGCTTTAAATACATCAGTTCATAACTTAGTAGTAATGAACTGCACATATTAACAAGCCATTTAAAACTCACATAGTTGACAGATTTAATCATAACAATGGTGAATAATCCATAACGCATCTTGCTCAAAATGAAAGAAGATGGCAAAGGGATATCCCACCTAGAATGATTACAAGAGCTATGAAAGAATCCTAGTCAGCAACTCTTGCTTCTATTGAATTGCCAAGTGGACAAAGGTGATCTCAGACATAACAGACTATAAAGATACCATGGTCAGTAGCCGTACTCTACAAACGCTATCGAATGTTTTTTTCTAGATAACTGGGCAGTAGTCAATGTCCTCTTCCACGCTGACTGAACACTAAAACTAGGCTACTAATGGGGCAGGTGTTTTGCTATACTTGTATTGTAATGAACTGGACATTTATGTCATAATAATGTCTTCGTGAATCAGTTTCCATGGATTGCAATGATATGTTTGACAGAGCTGTTTTAGGAATATTTCTAAGGCACAGGCATTTTTCTAGCAGCTGTCTCCTATGCCCTATGAGGAACTCCAGAATTCATATTAGTAGTTCTTTGTTGAATTAATCAGATTTGGTTATCTTGCTTGAGAAAGATCAGTCTATATATACTAGCTATATTTTGCTAGTTTGGATATGTGGTGAAGCTTGTCTTGCAACTTCTACGCAGAGAGAGAGCGAGAGAAAGCAAACAATGCTAGGATTTGTTTCCACTGTAGAGTCAAGGAGTTCACTGTTGACAAACTATCCATGAACTTTAAAAATATTAAATTTGATTAAAAGCTGCCTATTAGCAACATGCTCTCTGGGCAGCCATTACAATATAGAAATGTACTTACAGTGTAAAGAATTGTAATTAATGTCTGACAGAGGAGGAATTGAATGTGAGATTGGCAAATGTCTTATGTAAGAGCAGTGTAGTGAACAGCAGATAAAAGGGGATGATTTTACATAGGTGCAACATTAGAAGCAAAGTGAATGGTGTGCAGAAAAGACCTGCTACCTGGCAATAGAACATGGAGGTAGTTGCCTGCCTTTAACTTGCAAAACCTCAGCAAGAATAACATTTGGCGCTGTCCTTTCTTGCACCCTTTGTCTTTGGCAGGACAGAATGAAGCCTCTGGTCCCTTACTTCCTGGTGGTTATTTGGATTGTGATCGGTATGCAAGAAGGTGTGCACATGGACGAGTGTATCTTTGAGAAGCTGGATGGTGAAGAAAGCATGTTTTGCAGGTGAGCTCATCATTGATCGATATTTTTGGATGTTTTCTATAGAAATACAGGGGGCCCTTTCAGTGTATGATGGTCCATGTTGTCCAGCAATGCCAAACATACTAGACAAAGATATGCAATACATTTAGAAACAAGAATTATACTAAAGCAAGGTGCCTTAAAAAGGCCCCAAGAAATTAACACATAAAACAAAATTAATATTACACATGCTGAAATGAGCATATCTGTTCAAACAATATTGTTTATGCCTTTCAGCATTGATCCATTCATCTTCTATGCTAAGGAAATCATTTCCTTTGCAAATAGTCCTGCAGTTATTTCTAGATCATATACAACATGGAGCAACTGCTTTTACAAGGGTCATGTCATCTTTAGATAGCCCTAGGCCATGCCCTCTCCTTTCTATCTAAATTTCACCCACAATTTTTCATTTATTTCATTTCTATGCTGGATAATAGTCAAAGATCTTAAAAATGCATTATAAAGACTATTTATATGCACACAGAGAGACACACATATCTAAAATAATTTTAACTAATCAACAGTAAGTGAAATTAAAGACCTGATTAAAAGCCACCACATTCTTGAGAGAAAAATTGTAAGACTCCAACTCCCATCAGCCTGCATGGCCAGTGATCAGGGATGATGGTAGTGACAGCCATACAGCAATTTCTGTGCCATCTGCTCCCTTGGACCGAACTTAGTCTGTCCTTCCTCCAACATGGCAAACAACTTGTTGGGGGGGTGGGGCACTCCCAGCTAGCACAGTGAGATATTACGGCAGCTGTAAGCCAAACTATCTGGTGGGCCACAAGCTGCCCCCCCCCCCAAAGCCAGCATCTGGCCAAGTAACGTTGCAAGAGTTCCAGTAACATAGTATAATGCTATCGATTTCACCTAACAACATCTATTCGCTCCACTTTTGGCTGTAGTACAGTGAAATGCTTCTAGGGCTGTAATCCTACTTAAAGTAGACCCACTGAAGTGAGTCTGTCTTCAGCAAATCTATTCTAATTAGAAGATGTTGGATTTTGCCCTAGGTCTGTCTTAGAGGGCCCTTCTTGGCGGTTATTAAGTAGCATATTAAAGCAGGTGAGAGGTTGGGAGTTTTCAGTGATGCAGACCACAAAAGGGAGGGATTCATCCAGAAAGAAAAATATCAGCTATTTAGCCAGTTTAATACTGGATATTTGGATGCTTATGTAGACATGAACCAAAAATGAAAAGATCCTATTAGCCACACTAATTACCTTAATCATGTGCACAAATGTATGCTTAAAATGTGCTAACAGGTATTTTGAATTAAGCAGGATTGTATTTTAAATATCAAAGTGTAAAGTAATTATTGTGATATGGGTTAGCAGGTATGACAACAGAACAAAAGAGTGTCAGCTTTATTCTGTTTTGAGTTATCTGATATAAGATTTCCTTTGGGGCAAATTGAATATAATTCAAATGAATGCTCTTCACCGGATGCTGCTGCTCATCAACTCAGTTTGTATTCTCTAGTATTCACTGTGAATCTCACTCCAGCACTTCATTTCTTACAGAGGGCATCTACAGATTTTGTATCCAGAACTGGGAGATGTTGCCTGCACCTATATTCCAAAGTGCAACCTATACCGCAAACAGATCAGCAAGGAATGGAGTAGTCCAAAAGTCAGATACCAGCAGGCAGATGAGGTAAGAAATACATAATTGCATTATGTCCAGAAGTTTTTGACAGGTAGAGCTGTATTGAACATAAGACAATCTGTGATTTATAATGATGTTTAACATACAAAGTGTCTCCACTGCTTAGTAATATTTAGTATCATATCAGCACAAATGCAGGTTTTAAATCTTTCTGCAGCAGTTTACAAAATTGATTGTTGTTTCTTTTAATCCAAAAAGCCTACACATCACTATCTCCGCCCCCCCCGCGCCCCCCCCCAATCTTCCTGCTTGTGCAAGTGCAGATTGGTCAGCGGCGTATAGTGAGTGGAATTGTCAAAGCTGGGCTTTTCTGGGGTACTGTGTGTGCCATGCACTACTCCTTGGGGGAAGGATGGGATGAAAAAATAGTATAGATCCTGTATTTAACAAGAGATGCAAGCACAGTGCACAATGAATCACACATTCAGTTCATGACTCATCACTAGTATAGCAAAGTGCATGTCCTTTCTTGATCATGTTGTGATAACTATGCAACGATCTTAGCAACTGCATAGAGCACCACTCACATTATTGCTGAATCCCAGGCATGTCATTTAAATGTGTCATATAAACTGCTTCCCTGGTTTTCTTTTCCTTTTTTTGAATAGGACTTCAGGAATAGGGAGGCAATGATCAAGTTGAGAAAAATGTTTATTCACAAGAAACAAACACAGATCACATGGTTTGAAAATGTGGTTTTAGATGATTAGAGGCATGATTTGTGATAAGATGAAAGTTTGAAAATACTATGCATTCTAAATATCATGATGAAATCGGCCCTCACATTCCAAATTGCTCCAGCTTCTCTCATTTACCGTGTCTATTCAGGATCCCATGGTGCACAGTGGCATCTAGTGGTCGCATCCTGTGTTGCATTTAAATGCATATTTTCAAGATTACTCGAGAGAAAGAACTTTATTTTCTCACTACATAAGGGTGAGAGAGAACTTCCTTCTGGAAATTCTTTCCACAGTTTCTATTGCTTTCATACTATGCCTTTCATTTGTATGGCACTTGCAGTAATAAGACCCTCTAGGTGGAGTGTACTTAAGAACTCTATTGATGCTATTAGGATGGACTATGAGCGATCAAGGACCTGCAAAAATTAACAAGGGGAACATCCATGTGCAGCCTGGGAAAAATGGGAGAGTGTTGTGGTCAGTCAAGAGTGAACAACATAAGTCCATGAGCTGGTTGTCCTCTATTTTTGTTTACAGTTCCCAGGGGAATTCTAAGTTTGTGTCCCATTGCTACCATACTGGGTAACCATTTGAGACTCACCCAGATCTATCAAAAATAGGACAGGGAATAGAGCAATGTCCATGTCCCTGCACCTGCTCTGCTTCTTGGCTTAGTTTTGAAGTCATGTGGCAGAGTTGCCCCCAATTTTTCCATGCCTTCACTTCTGGTTCAGATTCCTTCACTCCTTTGAACTGCTGGGAAATTAATCTCTCATGAGTTGTAGCTGCCAAATTCAGCAAGGAGGAAGAGAAAGTAGAAGAAGGACCATCTTACTGTGGTGAGAGGGACTGAGAGTGTCGGGCAAGCTGAGAGTGATGCTTCCAGGAGGCCAGAATTTTCTCATGGGGCTATTCTAGCAGGGTTACCCAAGGCATGGTCAAAGCAGAGACACCAGGCTGAGATGCATTCGCCCTCTTGAGGAATAATGGTCACATCAGCAAGAGAGGATGGCTCTCACTAATGGAAATGGGAGCAGATAAACTTTGGAAGGGCAGTTCTGGTTTGAGTTAGACGTCGTCATTGTGCACTGATCATTTCCCTCTAGTTCAGGCAAACATTTCTCTTCCTATTTGTTGGGGTTGCAGGATGGAAACGGGACTTTGAAATAGGGTTGTTCAGTAACTTTCAGTAGGTGGTGAAACAAGTGAAAACCCACCCACATTAGGTGAATATGAATGTAACAACAGTCCTCTGGAGTATTTAAAGAATAATTGTTTTATTAAAAAGAAAGACAGCTTTTGAAGAGCAGAATTTTGACTGGAGAAATGGTAGAGGAAGGAATGCCAAACCGTGTCTCTCCTTCCTGTTTTTGTTTTCAACACTGACTCCCTTTCTGCAGGTAACTTCTTCCTTCATGGGTTTTGAAATGCATGTTCAATGGGAAATGTGTATTTAGAATCCTGAAGGTTGGGTGGGGGGGGGACTCCCGGGGGGGGGGTGCAATCTGAAGCTGAGAATCTATGGCTAAGGAAAGGGTCACACACTTCACACCACATCTTTGTTCTAAACCTTTCTGTCCTGAAGCTGCTTTTCTTTGTTTCTCTAAAAACAAAACAAAATGCCACTACTTACATTTGTGTGTAATGTGTACTTAGCTTCGGAAAAGTCTAGTACGTTATAGCACACAGCCCTGGAGTACTTCTATCTGGTAAGTAGTACAGAAAAAGGATAATTTTTCCTCTGATTGCTACATGAATGCTATTATTCATAGGATAAATCAATGCTTGGCAGCTGAGTTTTTGTGAATTCTTCCAATATTATTCCACACGCTTGCATTATGTGCAAGATCTGAGTTGCAGGGTGAGTTTCCTCATACTAAGAAGCCCATAAAAAAGTGTCCACGTGGTTCACTGCATTTAATCTGAAGCCAGAGCTCTTGTGGCCAAAAGTGCCCTGGGATGTAGGTCATAGGTGTCTGTGGCTGGACCTCCAAAACCAGGAGTGATGGAGGTGGATGGAGATCATGCCATTGACTCAGCCAGGCCAGAAGCAAAGAAAGTTAGGAAAAAATGAAGTCAGATGCCCTCAAAGCATGGCAGAATCAGAGGCCAAGGCAAGGTGAACTGCAGAAGGTTCAGGACCAGGCAAGCATCTGAGACCTGGCAAGGTCGGATTGGAGCAGAGTCAGAAGCAGGCAGTAGACAAGGCAAGAGTGGAAGCAGGATCGGGAACAGGAAGTAGCTGTCATGAAGACCCATAACGCTGTGGCCAAGCTGAACAGTGCAGGAAGCCTTTTATGGAGTCTTCGGAGCTCTCAGCTACACTGCCTGGCCACACAGCCTTTATTCTTCACACATATTTACTGACCTGCTCCCGCAGGCACTTGTCCTGTGAACCCTGTGTCCTTTTGCAAACACATCTACCAGGGGGAACTGTGTCATGCCTTCAGATCCTGACACCCTTTGTGTTAAGAAATACCTTGTCATTTTCACCAGCAGGGGGAAGTCTGGTCTTCAAAGAAAATTGAATGATTTTGGTGGCAGGCATCAAATGTATTACTTCACTGAACAGAAACATCTTCAGTGTTGGACCATTTACCTCTTTCTACCTCATGCCTGAGCTCGTTTGTTCCTCAAAAGTTTATGATTGTGCAAGTGGTAGGAAGTTAGGTTGACACTGATCTATAATCTGTGTCCGGTAGGTTTGCCTTTCCAAATGTTTGTTGTTAGTTTCTGCTTGCTTTGGTTTGGCTGACTGGCCAGCATGCATGCAGGAGTATTATCAGAGTTGTGTGCAGGAATTTTTACCTAAGTACGTTCAGACTCTAATTATATTTAATCTGGGTCCAATCTGATCAAATGCCCTCTTGGTTTATCTCTTCAGTGACACCCCTTGTTTACATAAACTAGGCCCTCTGTTCTTCACCTGTTAGGAAACACAAAGATTCTTCACATTTGGAGGGGGTGGAGACAGTGATGGCGATGGCTACAGCGTCATGTTGAGTGCCGTGTAGCTTCCATGTAGCCTGAAGTGCCTGATCCTGCCTAATCTTGGAAGCTAAGCAAGGTCAGGCCTGGGCAGAAGTGGGATGGGTGACTTGAGTGTATAATTCTATGATTATTGCTGTCAACTGCCTAGAGAGCTTTGGCTATGGGCAGTATAAAATGTAATAATAACAATAATAATAATAATAATAATAATAATAATTTGGTGTCTAGAAAGAGCTATTACCAGTCTGAGGAGCAGCCCCTGAGAACATGCAAGTTTATACCACTAAGATATTACAGCTGGGTGCATTTCCAGTAAATGACTGATTTATCACTTAGATAAGACCATTCAAATATAGAATTGCCCATTGTCCAACAAAGAGGCTTAAGTGGCTTGCTCAGACTCTACTCCTATAGCTTTTCCACATGAGGTCCTTAACCTGGCTGTTTACCGAGCCTTTTGCTTCTGGGTTGTTTGCCAAATTGCAGTCAGCTCGTTAAATTTCAGTCAGCTCCCTTGCTACATGTGTCTTTCCCCAGGATTTATCTTTCTCTGCTTTTCCATGTGTTCTATTACACAGCCATTAGATGGTGCTGTATTATAGTAGAATTGCCATCATATATGGGAAGGTTTCATGCTGCCATTCATAGCTATGAGACTTTCTGCACTAGGAAAAAAAAAATCTAAGATGTTTGCAAAGTACAGGAGAGGCCCTGCAGGATGACTGTGCCTTGTCAAATGATTTACTTAAGTGAATACAGTCTTCAACAAAAACAGGGCAAGGTATAGAAATAAGTATCCTTTTGAAGGTGGCATCTGTAAGATTCCCTTTCAAGTGCTGAAAAGACTTGAAAGTCCTAGATTCATGGATTATAGGAAGAAAGTGTTTATCCTTTCAAGGTTGTGAGAGTTGTCTTAGGGTTGTCAAGAGGGCATGGAGGTTTTATTTACACTGCTCATTCATGAACTTTCATGAAGTTTCAATAATTTAAAAGAGTATGTATCCGTGAATACTAAAGACTGTTTCAGTACAAGTTTTTTCCCCATATAATAACTTCTCACCAATAGAGACAATTACTACCAGATATTGTACATATTGCTGAAACATACATTATGGCACCTTCTCAAATTGGATGGAGGTAACTAGTGAGCCACCCCGAGGCTTTTTGCAAATGGGGCAGCATAGAAATTGTTTAAATAAATAAATAGTGGGATGCCACAGGGTTCAGTCCTGGGCCCAGTGCTCATCAACATCTTTATTAATGATTTAGATGAGGAAGTACAAGGAAAGATAATCAGATTTGCAGGTGATACAAAAC